TATTTTTATTAAAATTATGGTTTTTTGTTTTTATTAATAATATATTTTATAAATATATATATATGTATTTTTTAATCGAAGTTTGAAAAATTATAAAATATATAAATACAAATATTATAAAAAAAAAAAATTAAATATTAAAAAAAATTAGTTTAGATTTTTTATATTAAGGTTAAGCTCAAAATTTTTTAATGTTTTTTAAAATAAGTTTTAAAATATAAAATATAATAATATATATTTATATTTTATTTAAATTAAAAATGGTATTTTTGTTTTTTTTTATTTAGTAATCTTTGATATTAAAATTATGTTTAAAAACGAATATATAGTTATATTTTATTTTTTAAATTTAGATTTAAAATAAAAATTATATAAATAATTCTTTAATTTATTTTTAAATTAATTTTTATTATTTTATAATAAAAGCTATTAATTTTTATTATAGTATTATAATATAATTATATTTTTAATATTTTTTATATAAAAAATAGTATTTATTAAAATTTTTAATAAATATTTATAAATTAAAAATTTATCTTTAATTATTTTATTAATTATTTAATTCCTACTTAAATTTTAAATTAAAATTTAAAGATTCAAGTAATAAGTTAATATTAATTTATAATTAAAAATAAATATTTTTATTTTAGTTTTAGATTTGTAGTTTTATTTTAGAAATATAAAATTAGTTAATTTAAATATTTTTAAATAAATAAATTTAATTTAGAATTATATATTAATTTTTATTACAAATATTTTAAAAAATTATATATTATAGATTAAATATATTTTAAATATGTTAAAAAATATATTAATTTAAATAAAGTATTTATTAGATATTAGGTATAAATATAGTTAAAAAATTTAATAATAAAATAAGATATAAAAATTATTTTTAAATTAAGATGGGAACTTTTTGTCTATAATATAAATATTATGATGTTAAATTTAAGGTGTTCTATTAAACCAAATTTCTTTTTTATTAATTGATAAAATTTTAATTAAATACTTTATTAATTAAAGTTTTTAATATTTACATTTAAGTTTAATTAAGACTGATATAATAAATATTTTTTTTAATATTTTTATTTTGTTAGTATTATTAGTTTTGTAAAATTAATAGTATTTAGTTTTAAATATTTTAATATTTTTTTAATATTTTTGTTGTTGTTTAATTTTGTTTTATAAATATTTAGCTTTTTATTACATAAATTAAATTTTAAAACTAATACTTTTTATTTTAGATTCTGTCTAGTTTATAATAACTAAAAGGATTGAAATTAGAAGAGAATTTTATAAAAATATAATAATGGTTTATAAAAATTATTTCTTAAATTTTAGATATTATAATATAAATTTATAATTTATATACTAAAATATAATTTATAATTTAAAAAATATTAAATTAATTTAATTTTAAATTTTTTTTTATAAAATTTTTATTATTTAGTTAAATTAATTATATATATATACTAAGTATATGTTTTTAATATCTGATAAAATTTAAAGATCAATTTGGATAAAATTATTATTTAATTAATAGAATATAAATATATTATAAATAATAAATTAAAGTTTATAATAATATTTGTTTATTAAAAAAAATTTTTTTTTAAGTTTAATTTTATATATTTGAATAAAGTTATTAGTATTGTAGGAAATCTTGTGTTGTATATAGTGATTGCTATAAATAAAAGTTAATAACTTAATAATTTGTTATGCTTTTTATTATATAAAAGAATATAAAATGAAATATATTTATATTAAAAATTAATAAATGTTAAGTAAATTAAATTTATGTATTTTTAGAATTATTAGGTTCCTGGTTTCTTTTTTTTGTTTTCTTTTGTTTCCTCTTTTTGATTTTAACATTTTTATTTAATAAATCCTTAATTGCCTATAGTATGAGAATAGAGTGGTTTGAAGTGGTTTGATGGTTTTGTCAAATTGTTTTGCGTAAACTTATAGACTTGAAATTTTAAATCCAAATTGTTTTGGTGAACTTGAAAATAATAACAAACTGTTTTATACAATTTTTCAAAAAATTTTAAATCCATCTAAAAACTGCCATAAAACTCCATAAATTTATTAAAAATAGAAATATTTATATAATAATTTAATATATTAATTTACTTTAAATTTTAAATATCATAAAATGTATTAAATTAATATTTTAAATATAAAAATTAATTTTTTATTTTAAATTTTTTTCTTACTACTATTTTTTATATAATTGTAATAAAATATTTTTTTAATTTAAAAATATTTTTTTTTATTTTTATAAACATTCGGATTTTGTAGTTAGGAGGATATTTTTTCTCTACTTTAGGAGAATATATTGCCGGTTTAAGAATAGTCTAAAATCATGGGTTTGATTGCTTCTCATTTCAGGCGTTTCTGGGCGTTTCTGGGCGTTCCTGGGCGTCTCGTGGCGTGCCTCATAACGCAACTCTTATTGGTTCATCATGATTTGATGCTCGCACTGGTGCTGGCATAGCAGCACTGCCTGCTGCACACACAGCATCTCCACAGCACCTGCACAGCACAGAATAGTGCTTCAGACTTCCTTCGTGGATTTGTTGCATGATCTAAATCGGGGAGAAGTTAGCCCGAAAACTACCTGGCCTCGAAGAAGGGCGCCTAGCTGTTCAGTGTTTTGCAATGCACAGCAATTGTGCAACCTTGGTTTGATACAATCCTCCACATCTCACACCACCAGCATAATGCTTGCACCCGCATTACTGCAGTGCTAATAACCGTCTTTTTAGATCAAGAATCTTTGCATGGCATTTTGGCCGGGCTGTAGCTAACTGAAAACCCGAGTGCAACCATGATGCTTTATAGACGATGGATCTTCGTTTATACTATACTATGTATTGCATCCGATTCCGTCGCGGACGACTGGTTTACAAGACGATCATTGGAAGGTAGCAGTTAGGACGTATATCATAGCCAATAATATCAGAGTGTTTAAAATAGATTAGTGCGCATGCAACCTTAACGATCGACGATCGTACAAATGTCTAAAATAAAGACCCATTTTCTTTGGTGTGTGGTTTTAACATCATACGGGCGCAACATGGCTAACACACACGTAAATCGAGGCTAGTCGGAGCTGGATATGACGTTCGTTCTGTATAGGCCCTATTTGACTACGATATTTGACATATAAAAAGCCTCAATACTTCCATCCAAACTTGTTATATTACTCTCGCAAAGACAGTCCTAACCCTCAAGTTCTTTTACCAAACATCAAAATATATCACCAGACATAAAACAACAGTTCACCATGCATACTGATACTTGGTATACTTTTACCGGGCTCTTATTTTATATAATTTTTATCATGATTTCCTTCGTACGAGCGAACTTACACAATGTAATTGTTTTTTGAAATCTACTAAACTCTTTAATCTGAGTCCATTTCGATGGCTGGTGTTTAGCCAATAATTGATTTGAAGTAACTTCCTGGTTTGCAGATAATATAGCACTCGGCTTTAATTTATGTGATTTTAAAAAGTTTCTTGATAATTCTGGTTTTTATTTGGATCTTTAATAGAACTTTCTGGGCACTCATATATCTAATAATAATATAATATTTTACTGGGAAAATATTACTATGAATCGAAAAATTAGGCGGTGTTTAACATATACATTTAGAAATAAAGGAGTTTGTTGTTGCTGTGGTAGAGCAGCCACCCTCAAAGGCAGCTATTGCCGGGTCATAGCTTACTGTAGAGGCAGGTCGTAGCGAGAGTCTTGGCACTCTCGCTACTCCTATACCTATCTCATAGAGGCACCTCTATACTAGAAGAACAATCGAAAATCATCAATCGATACTCCTATAGAGACCTACATACCCTTCGTGGCAGAGACCGCTCTATATAATACGCGACTCAATAACAGAGTTGTTTTTGGGATTTTGATTTCTTTAAAAAATTTTAACATCATTAAAAATCTTTTGATAACTACTTGCTCCTCCATTAATAAAATATTGATAATTATGTAGATATTTCGAATATATAATTAAACCACAAAATATTTTATTCCTACTACATATACAGCTCAAGCTTACAAAAACAAGGCAGTATCTCTTAAAACATCTTTTAACCTAATATGGCTAGGATGCTCAAATAATATCTCTGGTTTTGTGACGTGGGATATTGATAAGACTCTTCTAAGGGTGGCTTTTAATTCATCATTCAAAAACTTTTAAATTCCAAGTGGAAATGTCTGTGAAAGCATGACTCTTACCTATCATACAGTTAGGTTTATGATTAAATAACCCCCAAGGCACAGCTTGGACTACCATAGGATACCTATCATTACAATTTCCTAAAATTTATTTGTTTTCAGGGGATTCAGACACACCGGGTGGTATGAAGCTTATTTTTCATTTAGTTCTATTCTTTATAGTCTAAAGTAGCAGGAAATAAATGAGAACCTTGGAGAATATCACTATTGCTCTCGCCATCTCCATCCCAATCGTTAGCACGTTGTTTAATATCAACCTAGAAGCCCAGAAAAGTTTTCTAACTCGTGGTAAAATGGTGCTTGTAGTCTAACATCAATGCTCGTTGTTGCTCTAGAAGAGGAGTACTGGTGCCGGCTGGTATTATTTTCGGTTTTCTAATATTACGTTCGAGCTGGAGCACTAGTTAACGTGTTATCCTGCTACTGTAGCTGACTGACTTGTTGATTTCGCATCCTATATTCTAGATACACTAGCAAATTTATCTTGGATACTGTTCAGCTTAACCGGATCTCTTTGAAATGGGTATCGCAGTGGGGGCTGGTTATAAGACGTTGTGACCATGAAATTGTCAGATGTAATAACTGCAGCCTGCTCATCAGGATCTATCCATTCATTTGCATTAACTGCGACCACAATCCTAATCTGCCAGATGTATATTTTGCGCTACTACAGCAGTTGTTAGCTGAGTTGTACGGTAGATCTAAAATATGGGACTTAATATGCTTGCCCTAGTTTCAATTTCCACATGAAACATATCGTGTAGTGAGGCTTGATTCTTGAGTATCAGCGGCTTCTGTAGAGCCATCAACTGGCTTGGTAATAGTCTCTCCACTCTCTGTGATTGTTTTAGTGATAACATCCTTATCGGGCTAGGTAATGGACTTATGATAGGTTCAGGCTCTGGTGGATCTGCAGTGACGGTTTTGGTAATGGTAACGGCATCTTGCTGTACCGTGACTGCATACGGGATAGAAGAGGTTGACGCAGGGAAATTTATAATTGTAGTGGTGGTTGTAGATGCTAGCGAATCGCTACTCGGTGGCATTTTACGTTTAGAGCACCGGTTGGCGACACATAATGGAAGCCCATCGCCAGCATCAGATATTGAGGAATAACTCAATATCGAGATTAAAAAGAGCGAGATGTTCATGAGCTTCATTTAATTTTCGTATTGCGGGTAAGCCGTATAGAAGACCAATATGTGCATTGCGCATGTTATTTTTAAGCTCTCGATAGGGGGATAGGCATATTTATATTTCGTTAGGATACCAACTATACGGCTGTTAGCGTTAATTACCAGTTATAGCAGCTCACAGGTGCCTTTACCCAATCTTATCTCAAAAATTGCAACACTCCGCAACACAGTACAATAGCTAACTACCAAGGGATAAAACATGTACAGTTACAATTGTACCGATGTCTATCAAGTTTCGAGGTTATATCATGTTCGAACTATAAGTACCTAATTGAACGCTCGACATATCGCTTATTTTTGGCGTAGGCTTTCTGACCTCAGGAAGCTCACGAGCCGTTAAAGTTTTAGCTTCGGAGAACTGAATAACGCCGGTGACCGGCATCAATACTCATCCGTGCATTAACGCGGTTGAAATTGATGGACAATCTTTCCCCTGAGGTAGGATCTTGCATAAAATCTATAATTAGCAAGGCAGATCAAGTCAATACTAGCGAAGGAAGCTACAAGTTTGGGAGTATAAAAGAAGGGGATGCTTCCTGTCAACATCTCAATCTCTCTCCACCTCTAGAACTCCGTATTAAAGCCTCGCGTTCCACAAAGCCTCCCATTTAATTTCTTGCTTGATTTTCTTATTTGCTTAGTACTTCTAGATCTCTCGAACTCATATCGAGCTATGGAATCATTGCTATATCCCATCATAGTTGAGGAATCTGGAATGAGATCTAATTCCTTCACGATACATACCCGCAAGTATAGGGAGGAGGGTCTGCCTGTCTGCAACGACCCATTGGAAGAACCGGAATTCCCCGCCATTCTTAGAGAGAAAAAAATAATCCAGACGCCCCACAACCTTTTCTTCATGAAATATGATAAGTCTGTACTGAATCCCACGCTACCTATAAGCGGCGATAATCATATCCTCTCGAAAAGCGAGAAGGGTTACCACATAATTCCTATTGAGATTGCGACTCCATACTCTTGTAACCCGGTGTTTGGCGATTCTACGTCCTCAAACGAAGAGTACAGCATTCTACAGGACCTGTCAGACCGCCAAATTATGTCTGAAGATTATAAATATCGACCCCAGATGGCTTTCTCTAACACAAGCAAAGGGGAACTCAACAAAGAAATACCAAAGTCCGCACATTATATGGCCACCAAGTAGATAATCGCTGCCACGCGAGGCATTCGTTGCCGGATCCATCCCGAGTAGGAAAACTTCTTCGGCGGCACACATCTCCTAGGAGGATATACAGCCAGAATCTAGTCATATATATAGCTAAGAAATTTCCGTAATATAATAGATGCGAGTGGGAACGCTGCGAAAGGAAGTGCTCCATGCAATCAAGTGGATGAAAGTTCTCCAGATTCTCAAAGAAACAGCGTAAGAACTATCCTTCTACCAATATACTCCTTGGTACACGTATTATCCGATTCCGGCTTTGAGGTTTTTGACCGCAATATATAAGATAATGTTGTTTGATGAACATCAGATTGTAACTAATCCAATTGGTGCTGTTGAAAGCTCCATTCGGATATCCATCAGGATTGCAATATATTAATATTAGTCAAGGTATGGGAACGAGGCACATGGAGCCTAGCTAATGATAATATGAAAATAATGGGGGACTAGTTGTATACATGTGTAAGCTGGTCTCACGCTCACAGCCTACGCTATTCTAGTTTTCGTAGTCAAGAATATATATATTCCTCATAATTATATCTATTTGAGCAATGGTGTGGGCCTATGCAGCCTTTCAGGATATCCCATTATTATTGATCCTCAAACCGACTTTGCTTCTTGTTGTGCTGAATATACGTAAACGGTCTACGGGCTTACCTCATCAAATCCAACGTATTTCCGGGTTTGTTGTACGAGACAATGAAATTAGGGGAATTACCAGAAGATCTCTATCAATCTACGACTTTGTCTCGATCCTTCCGCTCAAGATAGTTTCCATTCCACTTTAAGCGCTCCTAAAATTTGGTCGAGAATCTTCCCGCACTCTAGAGCCTCCAAAACTAAGAATAGCATGACAAAAATTGGAGGATAAAAGCGAAAGAATCCTCGCTAGGAAGATGCTATATAATAGATCCGAGTTTTCGGAAACAGTAATTGATCACTAGTGTCTCCCCGGACCCCAAAATGTTACCTCCATAGCGCATGTAGGGATAAAGAACACACGATACTGCCAAAATCAAGCATTAATCAAGGTTTCCCCGCTGAATAATATTTTGTATTAACGTCAATGACGATGGATCAACCTGGGTGAGCCATGTATTGATTTCAATTTCGGGACCTGATGATGTGAGGTTCGGAAACTTGTAATTGGGCTCAATTGGAGACTTATTACTAGTATAGTAAGATATGCCGTTTGGAGGCATGGTCACAGGACCCTGCGGCCATACTGCTGTCGAAGGAACTGTCGTGCTAGCCACCCCTGTTGGCTAAATAATCATATCTGAGGGATGATCTTGATCTCTCATGTTGTCAGGGGGCGGGAACGTGGCAGAATCGCTAGTTTTGGGACCTTCATTCCATTCAAGGATTGGCTCTTGCTTTAAGATTTCACTAAGTTTGTCAAGAATACGGAGGTTCTGGAGAACAGAAGGCCGTACTGGAGCTGCTACCTGCAGTACTCCGATGCAAGTACGCAGTTCAGAGCTGATGTTTTCTGGATTAGGGAGGATCGAAGCGGCTAGTAACAGAATAGTCGATGCTTTAAAGATATGCTGGTAAGTTAATCCACTCTGGCGTAAGCGGAAAGCTTTCTCCGAATCCGGAAATTTCATTGTCCGTCGAAGTAACTGCACGGTAGCCTTCGCCACTTCGAGGCATTGTAAAAAGCAGCGAGCTCTAAAGTCAGGAGTAAGGGTTGCATCCGTGAAGTATCGGTAGAGTGAGAGCCTTGTGGCCATAGCAAACATCGCGGCTGTAAACACGCAAGGAATCAGTATAAAAATGTACTACTGTCACCTAGAATGAATAGAGTGAATGGGTTAATACCATCTAAAAACATAGGATCTAATGGAGAAGAACTTTCCCAATCCAATATATGTTGTGGGAAGCTGTTTTCAATATCGCCTAATTGTTGTTCAATAACGACCACTTGATGTTCAATACTGCCTTCTTGAGGGTTTAGGCGAAAGATTTGCCCAATAAGTCGTGAAACCCCGATGAGACTTTTCATCAACATTATACTTTCTGGGCCTTCTGGGTCTGCTATGTTGGATTCCCTTTTAACTAAATCGCTCGTCTCATAACTGCCAGGTTCGTTGATTTCAATTTCTTTTTCGTCGAACATTGGCGTTGTTCCTAATTGCAAGGCTAGTTTTCGGTCCAAAAGAAACGTACACCAGAACATTCGTGATCGATGCTCCGATTCCATAGGCCTCAGGTTAAACTTCTCGTATGCTGGTTTGCGATGAAGTTGAAGGTCTTTACAAACTCTCACAAGATATTCCACTGTTAGCCGTAAAGGGTAAAGCAATGCGACAACTTCCAGGTACATGGCCATTATTGCCAACACTAAAAACCGGTCCCCCAATCATCACGTTAACATGCTGATATATTTCCTGTTCGGACGACGAAAGAACCCAATTACCTTCGACATCAAATAACGAGTGGTTGGGTTGGCGTAAGTCATGAAAGTTTCTTGCAAGTTCCAAAAAGTACCACCCCCGCCTATCAAGAGGTAAGTTAGCGGTGTAGCAGTAATCCACCAATGCAGGAAAGGAGTGTAATAATCTTACTTCGAACTGTAATTGGGAACTTCAAATACATCCGAGTTATCTGAACAGATACTGGCGCATGCATTGATCGTCATGAGAACACAAAATACCCCGGTGACTGATGGTCGGTCCTCGGCAAGTATGGGTGCCTCATAGGCCCGCTGAAATTTTTTGTAGATGACGGGCCAGCACATGGCGGGCATATACCTATAGGATACGTTTGTGCCAATGTCAGAGCTGCTTTCGACTGAAAACTTATACTTTATATTATTCATTTGCCCTAACCTCCTAAGATGTTGATAGAAGATCGTAACAAGTTTTTCACCATTCTCTTTAGTAGGCAATAGAGCACGGAGATCTCTTATTTGCAGAGTTTCGCCATGCAATGTCGTATTTGTAGATTGCAACTTCCCCTCGTTGGGGCCTCGAGTATCGAGAAGTGATGTATCGTAGCCTAAACCATTCATGTATCCTTGAACCGAATCCATGAATTGAGTAGAGTTTGACCCAGGGAAAATAGCATCTCTACTGCTATTGGATGAAAGTCTCCGTGGCTGTTGTGCGGTAGGCGAATGTGGTGGTTTTTCGTCCGTAGAATGACTTCCTACTTGAGACACCGAGGGGCTCTGGAGTTTTACTTCGGCAAGTTTCAGCCTATCGTTAAGTTCCTCGATGGTCTTTTCAAGCATTTGTAGGCGCCTATATTAGTCATTGCTTAGAACGAAGTTATATATGTGGTTAAAAATCCTTGCAGCTTCCGCCGTCTTGCCTAAGAGGTCCTATCTTCTTTCCATTCCCTGGCTCTGTGAATCTGCAGAGAAGCGATGCAGAAGTGCACGAAGTGCAAGATCGGCAGATTCGAGTCGTAGAGGCATCGCACTAACGTAAAGATAGAGTTAATTCGACTTTTTGTGACCCGAAGTCCAACTAGATGAATATTAGGCAGCTGGCTTGTCAACTGACCTTAGTTTTACGAGCCCTACAAGCATCGCAGGCCCGACTATTGCGTCTCGACTGATACACACGTTTCCGAGGTCCGGGTGTACTCTGGGAATTTGTCGTTTCCTCGGGACTGTCATCCGGCAATGAATCCAATCCCAACTCGTTGATTTCTTCCATCTATTTCTTCAATTTTGTTCCCGTTTACGAGCTATAATTCGAATTACCAGCGACGGTACGATTGTGTTGCTGTATATACAGTGGGCGGATTGTGCTAATAATCAAAGCGGGTGACAGATGATTTTTGGGCTTATCCAATTGTTCTTATATGATGGCCGCATCTTGGTCAAACTGGTATTGATGTGCCAAGCCTGCACGGGTCCAGCCACGATTCATTCGTCGAAGTCCACTCTCCAGATATGCAAGGTTATGCTGCCCACTGGCCACGGGAAAAGGGCCTCGTCGACAGCCGAATAGCCCGATGTACCTACGTACTACATAATATCTGGTCAATGTCGCCTTCGCTCTGTCAATTGATCAACCGCTAATCGATCTTGAGAAATCCTCCCTTCCCGTAATTACACATAAGGTTCTGGATGGTGTAATAACCGCTCAGGGTTTTGACGGTCAACTCTGATCTGTAGAAACGCTGGGAAATCACCGGCAATTCGCGGATACGGAAATATAGTTTATACATACTGCATTTCCCGCTGCTAGTTCGGTGCCTTGGTTTGTACATGCACACGCATCTGTACCAGCTTGGCCTATATGCGAACTGGTATTGGCCATCTCTAACCATGCAACGAATCCCACAGTCTAGTAGCAGTCTCGTAAGGTCTGTACAAAATGTCCAGTTCGTGACTGCGTAAAGTGTTTATTTCCGATTGTTGTGGCCAAAGCGTACTTACGTATTGCATCTTGCGGCGTTCATCGATTCTGGAAGAACAAAACCTGTGTGGAGCCTTAATCATCAGCCAAATAAGAAAGTGCTCTAACTCCTAATTATTAGCTCTGCATGGAACGCTTGGGTCTGACACAACCGCTGGCAGCTTACTATACGTTCGATCCTGCTCAATAGATGAGAATACGAAGGTCTAGAGCTACTCTGGACAGCGATGCCTTCCAATTTACGATTCCACTTTCGCACACGGGCTAGATCAAGAACGTGGGTGTACTAATATGGCTAACCACAAGACCACCGGTGGCAAGCCCGTACACGGGATATCGAAAACGGGGAATTTCGTGGCAGCCGCAGGGCCTATACGTAAAGAGGGATATATTAGGGATCCCAGCAATATGCATGCCGGCACGAGCACAACTCCCAGTTCATATTCTATGGCCTGATCAACTTCTAAAATCCTTGTAAGTTCGACATAGACCTCAAGGCTTGGGTACGGTTGGGGGATCGAGGGTTTGCTAGCTTTAATAGTTGCGGCTGAGACTGCTATATTTTGGTGCAACTATAGGGTAAATTTGTTGCTTTTTATTGGTCGGAGCGACATTCCGTGAGCCCCCGCCAATCAGCACATGTAATTCGTAGTGGAGGTCTCATCCCCGACAATCATCCGGGTGGATGAACCCTTGAGAGACGTTGCCCAGCTGATAGCTTTGTCGTCGTATACTGACTGCTTCAGGTGATGGCCACAACCAATCTTGAATTTTTCAAGGGCGAAAAGTCCAACATCTATATTTGCATTGTTGTAATGTTAACGCGGAGAAGATATGGAAAATTCTGACCGCTGGTTTCCAGGCCACTGGGTGCTATTGCTTATTCTGGAATCTAGACTCCTGTCTATGACTCCCCTTTTGAAGGTATTGCTTGATGGAATTCCCATTTTATTGTCATGACATGGCATCTTCTGGTAAAGTGGTACCCTGATTTCTATGGTTTTTCTTCTAAATCAAACAGATGATGGGTATTCAAGATTTGACGCTCCTTGGGGGAGAAATCTAAACCCTGGCGAACGGGTATCTTGGGTATTGGTGCCACTAGCTGAAGTGGAAACTTTCTTGGAAAAACAGGAATTTCCGGCCACCCAGCTCTTGCATCAGCGTTCCGCTCTCGAATCTGGTCTTATGGAAATGACGGAGTACCGCCTCAGAAAACTTGCTCTCAAGCCATCTTCGACCCCAATCCCGGAGCCGTCGATCAACAAGCCTCGACACCGCAATCATCAGTAGACGGCTCGGGTTGTCTCTTACCAGAGACTATTATCTTCAAGAAATCCTTCTGCCATCTCAAGCTAGAAGCGTAATCAGCCACCAACCAACTAACCAAGGCAGATGAATATTAGAAAGATCTACTTACCTCCTCGTTTGTTTTGCAGACCATGAGCCGAACTTTTCCGAATCCATCACCGATCGAATAGGAACCTCGCGACTTTCGCCCCCATGATTCTTTTCATCGTCCACACCATCAGAGCTACCGTTCAAGTCATCCAATCGCTTCATAATCATCTTTCGAAACCTCGGACTGCCTTCTCCGATACCGCCAGCAAAAACTACAGCGTCGACCCCTCTCTCGCGTCCCTTAACTTTAACCAATATGACCCGAAGAATCCCAGAATCCTGTCGAGAAACAGTTCGACGGCAAGAGTTGGCTCTGCTGTTGGCGGATTCGTCGCCAGAATTTCTGAGAAATCTGTCGTTCCGGTGAGCGCTTTGAAGCCCTACAAGCGTCAATGTCAGGGTAATGGATTTCTACTGCCGGGCGGGGGACAGCCTGTACCGATGACAAGTTCAAAATAGCTTCCGCGTGCGAAAGCTCCACTTAAGAGGATATTTTATCACTTTCGCCTGGTCTCGAAGAGTAATGAAATCCAGACTGATTTATCACGATTAGTTTTCCCTACCACGCAGAAGCGATACTTCCGTCCGATACCTTGGATCTACAGTTCTCGATCTCGAACCACCGGGAAGACCTTCTAATGGCGTCAAGCCCATCCTAAGAAAATGGCATCATCAGTATCACCAACTCATTTGTGTCCAGAATTTCGACATCACTGCAGCGACAACTCACTTCGTCATGGACTTTGCAGCGAGCGGCCCCATGTCCCGTCCGCCCCCAACAACAACAAATCGACCAAGTTTTATTGTATATACAGTATGAATACTGCTGGCTGGCTGGTGATCGTTACGTGATGACGGCGATGGCATGTACTCAAAACTGTCAATCTTGGCAACAAGTTTAGCGTTCTTTTATCTTTAATATAAGACAAGGTGCATTGATTTGTCATGCCATATGCATTGATCATGAAACCGAGGTATTAAACTTCATATCTCTTATTTTATTTTCTAGTTCGCTTTTAGTAAAAGTAATACAGGTAGACGAGCCCCCAAATTGTACATAGTTGTAAAAGATACAAGTAGTAGCGAACAAAAAGTGAAGAGGTTAGTGGGAAAACTGCTCACACACATCAGATTTTAACAGCTCGTTACATCTTTCTTCTCTGCAGTTCGCCATAACTAAAGAAGCTGACTGCAAACAAATAGTTCTTGGCCAGGTCACAAGACCGTATATAAGAACTCGTTATATATAGATAAACTCCCCTGGAGCAGTGGGATCGCTTGGTTGTATTGATACACTGGATGAAATGGTAGTAAGCATAGAGGGCTTTCGTGCTCATTAAGAATCGCAATCGCTCCAGGATTTTGCGTAAACAGGCATAGAATCCAGGTAACTAGTAGCAGGAAAAGCCACATAGAGAGGATAAGGAACAAGAAAAAAACAATAGCAACAGACGGCCAACCAAATCCCCTACCTTTTTAATAGCATTGATCGTTGATGCTAAAGCAACGGTAAAAACAGGTGATAAGATATATCATTTTTAATTTCGGGAGGTTGAAAGGAGAGTGAGGTGAAGATCGGGCTATCGAGCGTCGGTACGGTACTGTCGACTTGCCCAGCCGACATTCCAGAACACGTATGCAATGTCACGCGCAGTGTTGACAGTGTCCACAGCTCGTCCAAAGATTCCTTCGCTGCCACTAGAAGGGGTGGGTGGACATTCGGAGAAACCACCATACTCTTCGTCGAAATCGCCGAATCTGTTGCGGTTTAGGGAGATGTTGTTCCTTCGATTGGTCCACTTGGGTTCCCATTCGATAGGATCATCCTCATCTTCCTTGTTGAAGGCAAAAGCGGTCCCTGATCCCAGGCTAGACTTGGATAAGCTTGAAGAACTCGCACCGAACCGCAAGGCAGACAGATCGTTGCTCGATGTTGATTGTTTCAGTTCAGATGGTTCCACTTCAGTTTTGAGGGTTGTCGATGGGAGTTTTTGGATGGTCTGAGGTTCCAATAGGCTTCCCCGGGAATTCTGGCCTCCATTCTTCGGTCGACTTGAAATGCCGAGGCAAAGTCCACCTTCATCAGAAGAATTATCCTCCTGGTAAACGAATCTCATATTAACATCCATGTCGTCATCCTCTTTTTTGGCTTCGATGGCCATACATTGCTCAACTCTGTCATTGAAATGAATATATTTCTGGGAAGATAAAGGGGATTGTATGCCAGAATCCATAGCTGGTGTCGTTTCGCTGGTTCCCTCACAGCTGCCAGCTGCGTGTGATACAAACTGATATGTTGCGCAGCCCGAAACTGCTCTGCTCGGCATAACAAGTGGGGATAATCTGTGATGATTCTGCGACTGCTGTGATCTTATCGAAGCAGCGGCTTGCCGTGATTGATTTGAACTGCTAATAGACCGTTGTAGTAGGGCCTCGGGCATACTTCTCTTCTTCAAGATGGTCTTTTTGGTGTTCCTGTGATAGGAATGATTTCTAAGAGCACTCGAGCATTCGGGGGTTGGAGATATGAAAAAAGAAGATCGCTCTGGAGCCGTCGATAATGGTCTGTACAGCCAAGTGAAGTTGTAGTCCTTCATCCTGATTTGTTATAATCCGATTAGCATGTATTTATCAAATGAATCGTCAAAATATCTACAATACCAATCAATCTTTTCCGGAGATACGGTCCTCAACTTTCTCTTCACTTTCATCCATGTTCTCCAAGAAGCATTCTCTAATCGAGCTGCATTATCGTAGACCTCCCTCTTCCCAACCATATACCTCCGGGAAGCCCAGATATCTTCTTCCTTCCAGCCATGCGACAGGTAGTCGACATGTCGGGAAGGTTCAGCTCGAAGGAGATGAATGTCATCGATAGCTGTCACCGGCAGGTCGGCGGCAGTTGTAACAGCTATTGGAACATCGGCTGCAGTAGGAGAAAAAGGAGGATCGTCTTCCTCCGCCTCTATTGAATGTTCCAGATGGATAAATGTTAGTTTCTCCGAAGCAGGGTTGTAATCGTAACATGCTGGAAATGTGAATGTGTCTTCGGTCTCGTACGGACTTAGGGAAGATTGATTGCCGGCGGTTTCGAAATACGAGCCCCAGGATGATATTGTTGATATTGATGTGACTGAAGTGCGTGGCGAATTCGTCAGAGGGGACGAAGCCGACGCCATTCGGCCGCCAAAATATATCGGATTTGGAGGTGGAAATGCGAGATAATCAAAATTCAGTTCGGAGTTTATGGGTTGCGGAGTGTAGACTTTGTCGTATGACGTTGAGGCACACTGCGCCTCGGCCATGATAAAGGACGGTGATGTTGTTTGGGAGCTGGGAAGTTGGAAAGGATAAACGTTGTAAATCCTCACGATATAGGATCGGCTCCACAAAGCGATATCTTAGGATATACAGCAAATAAACAGAAAGTTATACGATAGCTCGTTCAACTAACCGGAGGCAAAGCCAACAAAAAGCAGTCTGCTGTTAGACCCGCTCTTTTTGTTGTTTGAGCTTTTAATTGTAGGTTTAGATTTCATCGGAAGGAAGTCTATAGTGTACGAATTAGAGATGGCTTTTGTGAACTGCAGCTGAGGTTGCCCATTTTCTTACAGGAGCCCAAAGGCCATGGCAGCGGAACATTGGATCTGGTTTCTCAAACCGCTGCTGGATTCCACTTTTCTTGCTGCTTGGGCTGCTCTGCTTCTAATTTTGCTCTCTTTTTGCGTTGCATATACTGGCTTCCGGGGGCCTTGCCGCCTGCGCGGCGCGGCTACACCCGGAGCCGTATTTTCTTCCGATGAGGATATCGGGAAATAGGGGGAGAGAAGAGACTCATTGACGGCAATTGCCATGCTGGCTTGAAGTATTCTTTGACGGGATGAGAACTTGTCGAAGAGAGAATTAGTTGTAAAACAGTTAACGAGCTCATGTTTAAAGTTTCCTCAGAACGATACTGAAATAAATCGAAAATGTCTGAGGTAAAGGCCATCTCCGTGACAGGAGACAAAAGTCGATAGAGATGCGGTGTTCCATGTGTTTGTTTAATTCGTTGCAAGGCTGACCATTGAACTGTCAATTGACGCTTTCCCTTCACTTAAGTGCGATGAACAGGCCATTTCGAAAATTACTGGGCGTTGTTGATGCCACCGCTGCACAGAATCGGGTTTAATTAGCCCAACAGATTGATTATAACGGCTGAAGTTATAGATCCACGCTTTTGCAAACGCAACAAGGTCGGAAAAAGCAAACAGATTTAATTGCTAATAGCGTTACAAAATAATAAACAAAATTACTTGATTCTTGTATTAAATGATAGTGCAAAATCAGAGTTTTTGTGCAGTGTACAAAACTAGTGCTTAGCGTACCAACCCATTGGCAGCAATCACTGCATCATGATCCTTTATAGGACTGAAAAGCTTCTCAAAGTAGTCCGCTCGCAGACTTGCCATACGTCCTCAATCACCTCGCGCAGCCGCCGCCTGATAGCCTCAGGTTTTGAATCTATATGCTTGAGCTCGGGATACAGCTTGTGCGGTTGGTGCTTAAGGTGCTACCATACATGTTCAATAAGGTTGAGGCCCGGACTATGATCACCAAAAACTCGCAATCCTAAGCTACTCTCTTGCTAGCTGGGATGTGTGAACTGGGGAATTGTCGTGCATGAATAGTGGTGTGTCTGACAAATTTTATTGAGTTCTGACTAGAACTTGGGCAGGTATTCTGCAAGCATGTTGTATGTGTAGTAACTGTTATTGATGACCAAATAACATGGCTCTTCCAGATATAGGTATAACAACTCGTCATATATGATATATAAATTTATATAATGAAGGCATGTTATGTACCTAAGACGCTAGCTTGATATCGTCAGAGAAATAAAAAAAGGGGAAATCCTGACATGCAAAATCTAGACTTGGAAGCGTGAAAACTCTTCTGACCATTGTACGCAGCGAATAAAAAAGAAGAAAAAACTGGTTCTTGAAGCTACCAGAGCTATGTAAAGGAGCTGCATTCTGGCTAGCAAGATAACCGAAGCCAATTCTCCTAATCAGATGGGTTTACAAAAGTTTCGTTATCAATACTGGCACTGGTACTTGCCAATATACGTTTAATGGTGTTTTTGTCGAAAGCCTCGTATTGATCTAGAGGCTCCCATCAATAACTCTCAGGGCAGAAGTAGAGCCATCCGAATTAAAACAACTGACATCAAGTAATGATCTGGACAACGAGCTTGGTGGGGTTTCTGAATGCCCGCCAACTCCTCCAAGCAGAAATAAGGGAATATTTGAAAGAACCGTTGATGCTATTAATAACGCTCAAGACATCGCATACGCTTTCCGGAATTTCGGTTAGGCTAGTTGATTATATAGACAATTGAGCTGGATAGGTTGATGTTCTTTGCAGCTCTACTGCCTATATAGACAAATATTCTACACAAAATGCGTGGTGTTACAGACCAGGAATGCCGCACAATTGAGTATAACACGTTCATCCTAGGTTAATATTTTATAAGAAGATTGACCTAATTCATGGGAATAAATTCATATTTCACTGAAGTATTTCATGTATTTAATCACCTATCCGCGTACTCTCCGCATTCTCAAACATACCACGAGACAGTGCACCTCTGTTCTGCCATGGCTTTAAAAGGTATCGAAAGGACCTGCACGGCGGAGGTCTAGACGCCGATTTGGGAAAGCTTAGTTGCGGGGTGAAGGAAACACGGCTGGTTCACGAGACAGTTAAGACACACATGTTCGTTTACATTATTGTTGTTATGATAGAATTACGACTGAATGACACACGTACATTAATACTTTGTCCCATTCCGAACCGCTTAATACCCCTACATTGTATTTTATTGTGAGATTTTGCTAACCTCTTAGCACCCTGTCCTTCCATAATGGCCCATTATATGGCCTGTTTAAAATAGCGAAGCTGCTGCGCGTGTGCCATCAGGGTACAGAGGCTTAATTTTACTACCATTTTCGCACATTTTTATCCTAGTTAACAACATACCTAGGTAATTAGGAGTGGTGGAAGGAGGGTTCCGATGGGTTGATGTCAGCTAGAACATGAGCCCGACAAATAGGACTATTCTCAGGCTACCGACGCCTGTGAGTCCTCTAGTTACCGGTGAACCCATATTAAATCTGAGCTTCATATTTTTCTCCTGTCGTTTACGTACCACGTCTCCGCTCCTATCAGAACGAAACTTGAGATATGGATGTTATTTATCTATATCTATATTAAACTCATATAACTCATCTTGATTTGGCCGCGCGCCCAAAAAATTTGGCATTCCACTATTATTTAATGCAAGAACGGTGAATAGAATATAGAAATAGCTTGATTGCTGTCCATGCACAAAAAGCCGGACGGCGATGTTTTATGATATGGTCGCGGAAGTTTCTACTTGTAAAGATTTGTTCACTCAACGATCGACAAAATAAAGGAAGAAGTCCTTTCTAAGCTGACTGGGAGCAAGGGACAGGTTCAGCGATTCTGGTGACCTGAACGCCAGCTAGGATGATTTTGGTACCAGTCGAGTCGTTGACGAACTGATAAAAGGGATAATGTCAGCATGTGGACCATAATGTGACGTTGGGAATTGGCAGGGCTTACTAAAATGTCCTTGTTCTATCTCTGGGCCTGCTTCCATATTTCAATTTCGCAACCTCCACGGATGACACCAATTCTCATGGTAGAAAGCAAGTTGTGGGCAGCGTTGGAGTGGTTGTAGACACCGCCGTTGAACATAGCAGTTGCGTCCTTTCCAATTCCAGATTTAATCATAGCCTTGCCACCTGGATGATCTTTGATGAAATCACTAACGTCATGAATGACACCAGCGACCGCGATGAGTGCTTTTCCGTTGCGAGCATGTTCCTGGAAGTCTCCAAACTCGATGACTGGAAGCTGCTCAAGAGGGATACCCCAATCGAGTTTGGCACGGATTCTATCCAGTTTCTTTTGCATCTGTTGAAGTCGACCTTTCTCGATCTCGTTAGACTTGAACCGTTTGAGGCCATAAGCAAGGCCGAGCTGCTTCCAGGTCCAAATGGCCCATTTCGTA